ATAGGTTCCAGGAAGTTTGCACTGCATTGTTTCCACATGCCCTGTTAAAGGCTCCCCTACTCCAGTCAGACCTCTCCCTGTCTTTTCCCCTTCTCTCCCTTCCTTACTCACCTGACACTTTTTGTTCCCATCCCCACCTGCCTCCAGTGTACCCACAGTTCTATTTCCTCTTCCCAGAGAGATCTGTGCATCTACCTTAGAGCTATTCTTGTTATTTAGACTCTCTGCATCTATTCTGTGATTAACTGTGATTGTACTTTACTTAACTACTAATATCCACTTATAAGTGAGTGCATACATATCATGTTTGTCTATATGCTTCTGGGCTGCCTCACTCAGGATAATAAAGAACTCAAGAAACTAGGCAACAACAAACCAAATAATTCAATTATAATGGTGTACACCTCTAGACAGAATTGTCAGTAGAGGAATCTAAAGTAGCCGAGAAACACTTGAAATTTCCAAGATCTGTAGCCATCAGGGAAATTTAAATGAAAACTACTTTGAGGTTTCATCTGACACCTGTCAGAATGGTTAAGATCAATAACACAAGTGACAGCTAATGCTGGTAAGAACATGGAGCAAGGGGATTTATTGCTGTCACAACTGCAAACTTGTACAGCCACTGTGGAAGTCAATATGCAAACCTCAGAAAATTAAGAGTCAATCTACCTCAAGACCCAGCTATACCACTCTTGGGTATATACCCAAAAGATGCTCCTCCATCCTACCACAAAGAAACTTGCTCAAGTACATTCATAGTAGCTTTATTCGTAATAGCCAGGAACTGTTATGTCTGTGAGAGATTGTGTTGATTGATGATTGATGTGGAGGCTCCTCCACTTAGAGTGTCAATATCCCTAAGAAAGCAGGCCTGGGCTAGGAAAGGGAGCTATTCAAACATGAGACAATGACTAGGCAAGAGAGAAAGCTAGGAAACAATCTTTGCCCGTGGATTTTGCCTTTCATTGTTAGCTTGAGTTTCTATCCTAATCTCCCAAAATGGTGTAATGTGTTCTGACACAATCAGCCAAATAAACAAATTTATCGCCTGAGATGTTTTTGATTAGAGGATTTAATCACAGCAGGATAAAAGCAAGTTAGAACAAAAAATATGGAACAATAAAATTTTGTTGCTAGGAAGAACCTGGGAATGTTGTCTTTTGGAAGAATGTGAAAGATATCAAAACTTTAGGTGACAAAAACCATAGAAAGTTGTACATAGAACTTAGTTGGCTGTTTTTTTTAGGACCAGCAAGATTGGACTGTTAAGAGTAATGGCAGAGAGTGGAGATTAAGATCATAGATTTCAGTTGGAAATAGGTAGACTCCATAAAAAATTAAACTAAACATTATTTGTATCATATTTTTGCTCCAGAATCTTTTTTATTCTGTCTATACCATGGAAATTTAGTAAGGCAGAATTAAAAAATTATGAGCTAATTCCTTAAGTGGAATATTGATTCTGTTGGATGTTTATTACTGATGACTCATTCAGGTCTCCCGTGAAAAGAAAACTAGTGGGGCAGAAATAGATGAAAATAAAAAAGTAGTTTCAGATGGCAGTTAAGTGCTGAAACAGGCAAGAATTTTGAAAGTTTATCACTATTATAGAAAAAGCCCTTGGTATGGAATGGAAGCCTAGCAAGTTGCCCTAAGGGTATAATTCCATCCAGCTAAATCTTCAATTTATGGAAGGAGTAAGCAAAGTGATTCCTAGTCCCAGGAAGCAAGCTCATATAAAATCTGCTACACCTGTGGTCCAAATGTGTTAGTGTCCATCCCAATTAAGAAATCAAACTTTGAGCTTGGCGGCGGCAGCAGCAGCAGCAGCAGCAGCAGCAGCAGCAGCAGCAGCAGTGGCACACGCCTTTAATCCCAGCACTCAGGAGGCAGAGGCAGGCAGATCTCTGAGTTCGAGGCCAGCCTGGTCTACAGAACGAGTTCCAGGACAGGCTCCAAAGCTACATAGAGAAACCCTGTCTCAGAAAAAAAAAAAAAAAAGGAAAAAGAAAAAAAAAAAACTACAAGAAATCAAACTTTGCAGGATCACCCATCATGTGCTGTTCATGGAAACAAGAAAGACTCCAAATTTAAGATCATGAATTCTTAGGCTGTGGTTACAGTTCAGCATTGTTGCCAGGATCTATGTTTGGCAGTCAGAAACCCAGTAAGGACACTGTGAGAATTCACTGCATGAAGCTGTGAAGATTGAAGCCTGTTCTTTTTTGTTTTGTTTTGTTTTTGTTGTTGTTGTTTTTGTTTTTTACTCTTTATTCTTTTGGGGCCCTGTCACCCAGCTCTGAAGTAAATCACACACATGGAGGCTTATACTTTCTTATAAATGCCTGGTTGTAAGTTGTTTCTAGGCAGCTTTTTTTTTTTAGTTTATTTTTTTCCTGATAATTCAGAATTAACTTTATTATTTGTACAACTACAATAGGCAATCTGAGAAAGAAATTGCCCACTTTATATTACCCACATTCAATAAGTGGGTAAGAGGTTTAGGCAGCTCTTCTTAACTTAAATTATCTCATCTACCTTTTGCCTCTGGGCTTTTATCTTCCTCTATTCTGTATACCTTTCTTTTTTTCTTGCTCTGTGGCTTGCTGTGTAGCTGGGTGGCTGGCCCCTGGTGTCCTCTTTTTTTCTTACTCCTCCTTATTTTTTCCTCACAGATTTCGCCTGCCATTTATTCTCTCTGCCTAGTAGCACCACTTGTCCTTTCCTGCCAAATTATTGGCTGTTGGGCTCTTTATTAGACCAATCAATTATTTTGGACAGGCTTTAGAAGTATCACAATGTCACAGAGTTAAACAAATGTAACATAAAGGAATGCAACATATCTTTGCATCATTAAAACAAAAGTTCCCAGCATAAACAAATATAGCACATCTTAAAATCATATTCCACAACAGTCTGGGTTGCATTTTGAGACCACAAGATGTTGAGATACCTAAGCTATGAGATGTCTTCTATGGAGACCTAGCTGTATATAGGGAGTTGAAGTAACCAAAGAGAGATGTATGAGAAGTTGCTTGTATAAGGCCAGCTAATCCCTTTGAAACTGACACACTATGTATCTGAGACAGAGATACAGGATTTGATGTTTGTCATGTTGTGCTTCAGTCTTGTCTTGGTCCAGTCTTCACTTGATATATCTCCATTTCTCTTTTGGAATGTGAATGGTATTCTGTACTATTGTATATTAGAAAAATGTAACTTGATTTCTGATTTTATAACATGTCACTGTTAAGATACTGTCTTGAGTGTCAGAAGAGACTGGATATTTGAACAATGTAAGGGATGTTGCAGACTATGAGTATCATTGTAGCAACTAAATACATTTTCTTCATGGATGATCATGAGCCTAAAGTGACCTGGGTCAGAATATAGTTGATTTAAAACCTCCCAGGTAGGATGATGTATTTGAAATATGTCTCTCTTTGGTGACTTTCTTCCAGTTGTTTGTAAAACCTCTACTAGGAGGAGCCTTTCTGGATGAAATTCCTCATTGGGAATATGATATGAATCTCTATAGCCTCAACCCCTTTCCTGTTCTTTGTGTCTACTGTGTTGTGGTTGAAACTAAGCCAGTTTCCTTTCTGTACTGTCAAGCCTTCGACACCATTATAGACTCTATCTGTAAATCACATAAGATACAGTAGAAGCACTTGCCATTCAGTGCTAAGGCAGTTTGGTTGCCTGCTGTTTTAATTATTTTGCTTGTTTGTTTTTGAAAACAAGGTTTGTCTGTGTAGCCTTGGGTGTCCTGAAAGTATACTTCTGTACACTAGGCTGACTTTGAACTCAGAGATCCCCTTTACTCTGGCTCCCAAGTCATGGGATTAATGGTTGGCCAACATTCCTAGCTTTATTTGTTTTTATATTATTGGGTGATGGGCCTGGAATGTAGGTTTTGGTACATGTCAAGCATAGGCTGTTGTGCTGAGCTTCACCCATATTGTGAATTTTAAAATTTGGCAGAGGATATCATTCTGTTTTTCTGGATAGCATGTATTCATGACATGAATAGTGCCTGAGCCTACTGAGGCATTGGATTGCAGGGGAATGACCTTCTTCCTGCCTGTTGCATTTGTTTTGAATATTTAAATAAATATGAGTATTTTACCTCTATTCATCAATGTACACCATGTGGGTGCCTGGTCATCACAGTGATCAAAAGATGATCTCAGAAATCCTGAACTTGGAGTATTGAATTGTTGTGATCCTCTATGTAAGTACTGGCAATTGAGCCTACCTATATGCAAAACCAATAAGAGCTCTTTACTACTGAGCCATCTCTCCTGCCCTGTGTTGATTATTTATGATCAACATTTATATTGCTAAGGCTTTTATCTGTTCATTTGTAACTGTTTAAACCCACAGTGCCTTTTAGTAAAATTTTGATGTTACAGTTCAAATTGGGGTACTTCAGGTTTCTGGAAGATGAATACAGAACTAGTGTGACTACTTAACTCTTTGTATGAGCTTCAGTTAAAACCTCCAAGTTCTTTCTATCTTTTTTATTTGTTTGATTGACTTCTTCATGGGAGAAAGGGTCTTAATATGTACTTCTGGCTGTCATAGACATGACTGCATAGAGTAGGCTGTAATTCAACTCAGGGGTACTGCCTCTGCCTTCTGAGTGTTGGGGTTAAAGGCATGAGCCAATACATCCAGTTTGTCCATTTTATTTTTCTTTTTTGTAGTAATTGTGCATAAATTTCTCTCATGTATACTCTGCACTATTGATCAGTTTACTTGTCTCTCTATGTTTTTTAATAGGCATTTCTCTTGTAAGATTCAAAGGGTACAGAAATGACAGAAGTGAACCTACTATTCAGTTTTCTTCTAAAGTGATTAGGTGATTACATTATAATGACAATGTCATGAATTAAGTGTGAGGAGCATCAGGATTATATGATTATATTGTCAAATAATACATTAACAATGTCAGTATCATGCTCTCTTTTGTACACATGTATGGAATATTTTAGAGTGCAGTGACCTATGATGATGTGCATGTTGACTTCACTTGGGAAGAGTGGAATTTGCTGGATCCTTCTCAGAAGAATCTCTATAAATATGTGATGCTGGAGACCTACAGGAATCTCATTACTATAGGTAACACTGAATTTTCTCTGTTTTAAAATAAGGTGACAACTGTTTCTTGGTTTATTGATGCCCTTCTATAATTTCATTGAGAAAGAACAAGAATGAGATGAAAAAAATCAGGCATGTTTCTAAGGTTCACTGAAGATTTTAACTACAATTTTGCACAGTTCTCAATAATATAACATATATTTTTCTTATAATATATTTTAGGATACCGTTGGAAAGACCACAATATTGAAGAACATTGTCAAAGTTCTAGAAGACATGAAAGGTAATTTTCATGTGCAAGATGATACAAATGTGTCTCTGAAGAAATTATAATGTGTCCTGGAAGTTTTAAAACAGAAGCAACAGTATAAATAAGCATAGCTTAAAATGCATAATAATTATTAAATTCTCACAAAACCTTATACCTCAATTTCAGGTAGGTGAATTTCATTTGCAAGGCATTCTTTTAAGAAAGAAGTCAAGGAAGCAATGCCTAAAAAGATATCACCATTTGAATCATAGCACTATGAGAGTTATGCTATAAAACTATCAATCCATTTATTTCATATCATTCATGTTACAAAAGGTATGCACAGTGAAGAGGTGATAAGTATATCTTCAAAGCAAATAATAAGCAAATAGTCCATAGTAAAGAAGTCTAACTAATATACTTGTGAATGTGCTGTTTAGTGAGAGGGGCAGTTAGAGTCAAAAGTCAAGTCAAAAAAAAAAAACCCTTAATTCTTATACCACAAGTCTATGAGTACAAAAAGTTAGACTGTGTGAACTGAATGTGGAAAACTTTTATTGGTTATTCTTCCTTTACTGTGTATATAATATGTCACTCTGAATACAAGTCAAATGTGCACAGAGCTATGGAAAGTCATAACATACCTCTCTCTCAGCAATCCTGACATTGTGTATACTTGTTGAATTTGATTCAAATATACAAGTAATTGGTTTTCCAGGTTCATTGTTAATGCATAAAGAAACTTGCAGTGCAGGAAAGTCCTATGAGTACTAGGACTGTGTAAAAACTTCTGTTTGTCCTAGTTCATTTAGCAAATGTAGTATGATTCACAGTATAGGAAAATTTATTAATGCAATAAAGGTGCTAAAACTCTGATTTTTTTCCAGTTCTCTTCAAATATGTGAATAATCTCATATAGAAAAAAAGATACTGTAAATGTGAACCATGTAATAAAGGATCTTACCATCACAGGTATCTTCCAAGATGCAAAACAACTCTTAAAGAAAAGGAGTAACATGAGTGTGAACACAATGATAAAACCTTAAGATCTAATTCCTCTTTATAATTGGACCAAATTGTAAAATTAACTCATGCAGATATGAAGATTAAACAGAATATTGTATGATGTAATGCTTTTACATGTGCCATTATTTTTGCAGGCAAGAAAGAAGTCAAACTGAAGAGAAACCTTCAATATATACTCAATGTGTTAAAGCCTTTGCACATCTTAGTGCTCTTCAAATGCATGAAAAAACACACACTGAAGTGAAGCCCTATGAATGCAATCAGTGTGGTAAAGTCTTTGCATGCATCAGTAATCTTCAAATGCATCAAAGAACACATATTGGAGAGAAACGCTATGAATGTAATCAGTGTGGTAAAGCTTTTGCACAACACAGTACTCTTAAAATGCATAAAAGAACACATACTGGAGAGAAACCCTATGAATGTAATCAGTGTGATAAAGCCTTTGCACAACTTAGTCATCTTCAAATGCATCAAAGGACACATACTGGAGAGAAACCCTATGAATGTAATCAGTGTGATAAAGCCTTTGCATATGTCAGTAATCTTCAAATGCATCAAAGAACACATACTGGAGAAAAACCCTATGAATGTAATCAGTGTGCTAAAGCCTTTGCACAACACAGTCATCTTCAAATGCATGAAAGAACACATACTGGAGAGAAACCCTATGAATGTAATCAATGTGATAAAGCCTTTGCACGACACAGTCATCTTCAAAGGCATAAACGAACACATACTGGAGAGAAACCCTATGAATGTATTCAGTGTGGAAAAGCCTTTGTATGTCACAGTCATCTTCAAATGCATAAAAGAACACATACTGGAGAAAAACCCTATGAATGTACTCAGTGTGATAAAGCCTTTGCACAACACAGTCATCTTCAAAGGCATAAACGAATACATACTGGAGAGAAACCTTATGAATGTAATCAGTGTGGTAAAGCCTTTGTATGTTATAGTCATCTTCAAAAGCATAAAAGAACACATACTGGAGAGAAACCCCATGAATGTAATCAGTGTGATAAATCCTTTGTACAACACAGTCATCTTAAAATGCATAAAAGAACACATACTGGAGAGAAACCCTATGAATGTAATGAATGTGGTAAAGCCTTTGCATGTCACAAAAGTTTTCAAAGTCATAAAAGAACACATACTGGAGAGAAACCCTATGAATGTAATCAATGTAGCAAAGCCTATGCATGTCAAAAAAGTCTTCAAATGCATAAAATAACGCATACTGGAGAGAAACCCTATGAATGTAATCAGTGTGCTAAAGCCTTTGCATATGTCAGTAGTCTGCAAATGCATCAAAGGACACATACTGGAGAGAAACCCTATGAATGTAATCAGTGTGGTAAAGCCTTTGCACAACACAGTCATCTACAAAGGCATAAACAAACACATACTAGAGAGAAACACTGAATGTAATCAGTGTGGTAAAGCCTTTACATGTATGAGTAATCTTAAAAATCATGAGAAAAAATCATACTGCAAAGAAACCCTATAAATATAGTCAGTGTGGTAAAGTTTTGTACTTTATACAGGAGTAAAACTTCTTGTGTGTGATCAATCTGTTAAAGCCTTTCCATATCACAATAGTTTTTGACTATCTGAAAAAGATGCTGTGGGTATCTTATTATGAAGTATTTGGTAAGATCTTTATCCAATGCACTTATAATCAGTTACACAAGAGTGTATATTCTGTAGAAAAATATTTGACAATGTTAACAATCTGTTCAACATTTTGATGCCCATTTTTATATTGTTTACAACAGAAAACTCATGGAACAAATAAACTTATGAATTTATGAAAGCTTTTGTATGGGGTAAAAGGACCAGACACAGAAACACACCCTGACCGTGAAAATAGAGCCAGTGAAAGACACACCCCTTTGCCCGGAAATCAGAGCTAAAATCATACTTTGACCCTGAAACAAGAGACAAAGAAACACTTTGTCCCTGAACCAAGAACCAGTGCTAGAAACACCCTGACCCTGAAACTAGACCCGAAATGTTAAAAGGAGCCAGTGAAAGAAACACTCTTTGGACTTGAAATCAGAACCCAGGAAACACACTCTACCCTTGACCAACTAAGCACCAAACCAACCAACCCCTGAGCTTGAAACCAGCCAATGCCTGAGCATGAAATACAGCCAATCTTTGAGCTTGTTCAAGCCCTGTGCCTGCTCAGTTGGCAGCTGTCTTTTACCACCCTGGCAGAAGCAGTGGCTCTCCTGGATTCCTTTCTCCCAAATAAGTCTCTTGAATGAGTTTTGGGTGAAGACGTTTCACTGAAGCAGATCAGAATCTCACCATTGGCTTGGATCAGAGAAGCAATGGACACCTCTGCTGGCAAACTCTCTTAAAGGAGCACAGCAGAAGTAACAACTTTTCACTAGAGGCTGCTGCATTTCTGCAGCCATTTTCCCCTTACTTGAGTGAAACAGAGAAGTAACAATTTTGGATGGAGCTGAAGAGAAATGGACATCTCTGCTGGGACACTCCCTAGTAGAGCAGAGCAGAGAAGCAATTGACAGCTCTGCTGAGAAACTTCCTTAGGGGAGTGGGGCAGAGCAGCAATGGGCATCTCTGCTGGGTAACTCTCTTAGCATAGTGTCACACAGCCCAGTTGTAATGGCTCCCTTTTGAAGAGGAGCAGATTACTGCATTTTGCAGGAATATCATTCCCCACTGGAACACAGCTTCATGTATAACCTGACTTCCCAACAGTCAGGGTACCTTTCTCCTCACAGCAGTAGGTATCCAGGATATCTTCCCTTCAAAACTGTAGGTATGGCCTGATTTCCAACAGTCAGAGTATCTTTCTCTTCAGAGCTGTAGGTATCCAAGAGACCTTCCTTTGACAGCTATAGGTATAGCATGATTCTGATAGTCAGGATACCTTTCCCACCAGAGCTTTAACACTTGCACTATGAATTTAAACAATAATGTAACCCTTTTAGATTCTATACTTCTCTTCAATTACATGAAATAACTAATTTAGATTTAAAACCTTTATGAATTTGTGTTAGCTCCTTTTTTGTTGTGATATAATATCTAGGTCAACTTATAAATGAGTTTAATTTGGCCCTTGGTTCTATAGGGATTTAGGAACACCATGAAAGTGGCGTGGCAACAGTGTCAGACACGACAGCTAAAGCAGGAAGCTAAGAACTCACATCTTTAACCTGCAGCATGAAGCAGAGAGTGGGAACTAGAAATGGTGTGTAGATGTAAATTCTCAAAGCCTACCCCCAGTGAGTTCTATCTCTTAGTAACCCATATTACTCCTACAAGTTTTTCTATTATTTCTACTGGGCAGTGGCATATGCATACTCCTACATCAACACATACATAAATAGTTTTTAAACCTGAATAAGTGCCATTAAGGTCACTTGCATCCAAATGACTCCCTAGGTTTCATCACTAGATCTCATATAGGGGAAGTAGAAAATAGACAGCTGTAAGTTGTCCTCTCACTCCTACATACATCATGGCACAGGTGTATACACACAAACATAGTTCAAACACTTTTAAATGGATGAAATTTAAAAAGTATAAAATAACCTAATTATTGAGAACATATGAAATGATTTGTCCATTTAAATGATAGAATTTCAGGAAATATTACTGTTCATCAAAACAGTGATGGTCCCTTTTTAAATTTTATTTTATCTATTTATTTTCTGATTCAATGATAGGTCATTTAAAAACACATACCTTGAGAGCTGGAGAGATGGCTCAGCGGTTAAGAGCACTGACTGCTCTCCTAGAAGTCCTGAGTTCAATTCCCAGCAACCACATGCTGGCTCACAACCATCTATAATGAGATCTGGTGCCCTCTTCTGGCCTGCAGGGATACATGCACACAGAATATTGTATATATAATAAATAAAAAAATCTTTTAAAAAACCCACACACATGCCTCAGCTGGATTTAGGGGGGTATAGTTATAATCCCAGCACTTGAGAGAGTCTGTTGGGCCAATGTCTGTGAATTTGAAGCCAGCTTGGTCCTCATAATGAATTCCAGGGCATCCATGGCTATGGGGACATATCTGTCTCAAAAAATTCTAAAAAGAAAAAAACATATTTCAAATTAGGGAACTTTTCCAAATGTAATATGGCTGGATTCTGACTGGTTTCAACAAAATCTTTTGTTATATTTAATCACATTAAGAGAACTGTTTTAACAATGAAAATAAGAAGCAATATAGAGAGTCCATTCACAGAGGTATAAAAATCCATTGAATCCTTAGACAACCATCTAGAGAGGACTTTCCTGACCTTTAAGTGACAGGAGAAAGAAGGAGCAGTGGGACATCTTCATCTTCAGCATTCTATTTGGGACCTGGAGAAATGACTCAGTAGCACTGATCCACTTGGGTACCCTAGCACCCATATCATATTGGTCAGAACTACTTGTATTTCCAGGTCCTGAGATCTGGTGCATCCGTCTAGCCTCTTAGGGAATCAGATATGGATGGTGAAAGACATATATGTATGTGATTCTATATTGTAAAAGAAAAAAAAAGGTTTTCTTCATGTGCCTGTTATCTTAAAAAAGAATTAAATTTAAATGTATAAGTTTTGCCAGTGAGTATACCAAGTGCATATGAGGTACCAGAAGATGGTGTCTGATCCCCTGTGACTATAGGTACAGACAGTGGTGATCTGTCTTTTGGGTGCCAGGAATTAAAGTCAGGTCCTATGTATGAGCAGCCAGTTTTCTAAGTTCTATTCAGCTCCACAGACATGTTATTAATAGCAGTAAGGTGTGAATGGTTGCTAAGTTCATCTTTACATCAGCACTGATGACCCAGAAGAAATATAAAATAGCAACAGAAACTAACTTAGACATGGTGCTGATAGAATTTTTTGAGCCTAGATCCCCACAAAATGAGGGAAAACTACAAAGAATTATCAGGAGGGAAACTGAAAATAAAAGTCTTTAAAAGATGATTGACCATTTAACCAAAGCCACAAGAGTGAATTTATCTCTGATGTTGTAAACAGGCAGCAATTGGGACCCAGAAGTTCACATGTCAGGTGTCCCTTGCTTGAGTTTATACCTCCTGTAATAAGAGAAAAGGAACTTGCAGGCATGAAGTCTGACTTGTCTGAATATGATCATTTTTTGCTTTCCTGATGCCTATAAAACCTTCAGTTTGGAGCTCTGAATGGTGGTGACTCTAGATGACATCCAGATTATGAAGAGATCCTGAGACTTGATCTGAAGTCTCTCCAAGGCTAAGGCCTCTACAAAGAGCTGTAGAGTTTCAAAGAATTGTTAGGGATGGACTTTTGGGTGTGAAAGCCCAAGGTTCAAATGGCAGAGCAATGCTTGGGGTGTACCTGAGGACAAGCTGGCATGGACTGTACTTGGTATCCACTCAGCTGCGGTGGGTCAGACACCTCCAGGTCTTCTACTCTTTCTTTGTCAACTTGTGTAGCTGTTATTGATGGTACCCTGCAGCCTCCACTTTTCAATTTTTACTGGGATCTTGAAGCTCCTTAGTCTCCACCCTATCAATATCTGGTACTTGCCTGAGTATTGAATAGAATAATAAGGATATTCTAAGAGACCTTTATATCTCTCCCTTTGGATAACAGCTAATGAAACAATAGATGCTATGAAATTCTAATTTTGGGGGGAATTTCATTGTAGGAAAAGACTGACTCCTCTAGATAAGAATGTCTCTACTGAAGAAACATTTACTCCTTATCTGACCACCTTGCAGGACAGAAAGGAGCTGAGGTTGGAGGGTTTTAGAGATGGAAAAACTTTCATTATATGGCTTAGTTGTATTACTTAGTTGTTCATATCTCTTGCCATCTATCTAAACCTATTAAGACCCCAAGGATAGATTAATTACCTTATATCTTCATCACTGTTCCATATTAGTCATGCTGAAAATAAATCATGTTTACAATTTTTTTTATTAACAGTTTTGTTTTTTTTTCCTTTTGTTTTCTATTTTCTTTTAAAGAATCTTCTCACTATGAATCTCTGGCTGGCCTGGAACTCACTAAATAGACTAGGCTCTTCTAGAACATTAGAGAGATTTGCTTACCTTGTCTCCAGTGTACTTGAATTATACATGGGCAAATCACAGACATCTTTCTTTCTTTCTTTCTTTCTTTCTTTCTTTCTTTCTTTCTTTCTTTCTTTCTTTCTTTCTTTCTCTCTCTCTCTCTCTCTCTCTCTCTCTCTCTCTCTCTCTCTCTCTCTTTCTTTCTTTCTTTTTTTTTTAATTTTCAAGACAGGTTTTTTTGTGTGTAGCCTTGGCTGTCCTGGAACTAGCTCTGTAGACCAGGCTAGCATAAAATTTACAGAGATCCACCTACCTCTGCCTCTCAAGTGTTAGGATTAAAGGCATGAACTACCACCTATTGTAACTTGGTTCTTTTAATTGACTTAATAAGAGTGAGTGGCTCTGCCTAGCTTGCTAGGGTAGCGAGGCTATAGACTCTGTTCCTACCTCCAGTAACAGAAGAAGGTTCCCATCAAATGCAGCCATCCTGCCTTAAAGTCCATTGTCTTCTAACTATGAGCAATATTGTTTTTCTTTATCTTTGAGTCTATTATTATTAATCAAAGGATTAGAGCAGAGTACTGTTCTTATTCTACAGATGGTAAAATCCAGGCTCACAGAGATTAAGATACTTAAGTGTAACTACTCCTCTTACTCATTTCATTATTCTAATGCCTCACTAAATGAAGGTGAAACCACCTAATTCAAGCATGGTAGCACAGGCCTGTAACAATGATACTTAGTGGAGGCAGGAATCTCAGGATTTCAACATCATCCAAGAGGAGAATGGTCAATGGGGTGTGGTGGGAAGCCCATGAAACCTTGGAAGGCTATGATTGGCTCAGAACAGTGTCCATAGTCTTCCCTGTAGCTCTAGAACTTTAGAGCCATGGCACCAGCAAGTGTTAGCTGAGGTATTTACCACTCCGAGTTTTCTATTCTTGATAATGTTTTCTGTCCCAGGTAGCCTAGGTCACTTAAGGGTCAGATTTATGTTGCTCAATAAAGAGTAAAATTCTCCAGCAAGTGGAGTGAATTAGCCTCAGGCAGGCTCCCTATATGTGTATCCAAAACAGCATGTTCAGTCCTGAAACCATAGCACATAACTAACAGAAATGGACCCAGCAGGTTTTATTCATATATTTGCACATACTAATTCACACATATTTAACAAGGAAGAAATTTGAAGGGAAGAATTTGGGAAGACATGAAGAGAGGACAAGGAAGGGGGAAAGTGATGTAAAATATTTTAGTTAAAAATGTATAAAAATAAATTTTAAACATAAATATGGCTTGAGAGATAGCTTAGCAATGAAGAGCACTGAGTGTTATTGCAGAGGACACAGATTACATTGCCAGAAACCATGGTTGCTAACCATCTCCTGCAACTCCAGTTCCAAGGGATCTTATTCCCTCATCTGGCCTCTACAGGTATCACACACAGACATATGTGGGTAAACACGTATATACATAAAACAAAGCTTAAAGAATGAAATTCTTGTAAGAAACTCACCAAAGTGGTATAAAGTGTATAAGGTTAAGTGACATAATTAAATTGTTTATCTAAGAAAATGTTTGCAGATAAAAAATAGTTTTGGGTTGGTAATACAAGTTAGGATAGAAAGTAAAATAAGTACAGATCTTTGCAGTCACCAAGACAGGATAGAAAATTTAGTACTTTTTCTGGTTTTTCCAAATGCAAATGGACTGGACATTGTGAATATAATTCTTACCCAATAATTCTTCTTATTGTATATAGTTATACTGTGTTAGAGTTAAAACCTTCCATTTTTATTTAGACAAAAAAGGGGAAATATTGTGGGATAGTTTGATCACATTCTTGTGGTGATATTGTGTTCCCCAATATATTGTTCACCTTAGTAGACTCATCTGGGGTCAGAGAACAGAACAGCTGCTAGATAGACATAGAGGCTAGAAAATGGTGGCACACGCACACCTTTAATCCTAGCATTCTGGAGGCAGAGATCCATCTGGATCTCTGTGAATTCAAAATCACACTGGAAACAGCCAGGCATGGAGACCCATGCCTTTAATCCCAGGAAGTGATGGCTGGAAGCAGAAAGGTATATAAGGTGTGAGGACCAGGAACTAGAGCCTGGTTAAGCTTTTAGGCTTTTAGCAGCAGTTCAGCTGAGATCCATTCAGATGAGGAATCAGGCTTTCCAGTTTGAGAAAATGAGATCAGCTGAGGAATTGGTGAGGTGTTGTTAGCTGTGGCTGGTTCTGTTTCTCTGATTGTTCAGCATTCACCCCCAACCAAAAATTAAATTCTGTACAGTAATGTCACAGTCTTGAGATAGACAGCAGTCAGGGCTTCATTAAAATGAACTCTTTCTGGTCCTTCATAGAAGCATTTGTGGCCTGCTGAGCCAGCTTGCTTGGAGGCAAAGGAAGCCTTATTCTGAAGTTAGAATAGCTCAGAATAGCTGTTCACTTAAGAACATCATTCATAGTATGAATAGGTGACTTTCCTATGCCTTTTTTTTCTATTTGTGTTCTATTTCTTTTGTACATGTGGCATTGATGCATTTTTATATGTATCTTTTATGTCATACATTATGATCTATTTATCTTATAAATCAGGCATTATGTTATATTTATATTTAGATCATGACACATGATCTGAAAGATAGTTTTGCTCTATAAATCTCCATCTGCCTAAGTTGCTAGACTTGCACTCTCCTGTCCCTATTTAAATTGTTCAACATTTAACCTCAGGCCAGAACCTAAAAGAGACTTCAGGATGACAGCATATGTGGCATGCAAAATCTGTGCCAGACCAGCTCCTCTTTTAACCTTAACCACCACTTGATGCATACTGTTATTTAAGATATTTTGGTTTATTAAACTTTTAAATGTGTGGAATAATTTATTCCTGGGAAGGCATATTAATTCTATAACAGCAGTACTCCATCCTTGTAGAAAATTTTTCTGAGACAAGTTTCCTATGTTGGATCAGGTAGCCTTGATCCCACTCCATCTCATCTTCTTGTCCTTGGGATTAAACCAACTACATTTTTTGATTAAAGAACTCAACTACCACTAAGTTTTAAAATTAAAAATTTGGGTCATATCGTCAACTGTCCATTTCAGTAACAGGAAGAGGATTTGTGTGTGCCTTCATGCCAGAATAGGAGGAATAGTTTATTGTGTACAGGGGGAAACAGGGTAGGCAATCAGCTGCTGGAGTCACCATTATGAAATAGGACCTGATTGCAGCAGGATCAGTGATTTTATAATTTTCCAGCATGTATTGATCCATCATGTGAGTGAAGGCAGGCTAGATTTTGAGTGTGCAATTTGGGAAGGTTAGTTTGAGCCAATGAATTTTGAATTTTCAACAAAGGAACTCTCCTATGCAGATATGTTCAATCCTGCTTGTCATGGTTACATTCATTAGTTGTATGCCAGGCCACAGGTCTCAGCAGCTAACATTGCACATAGGGGCATGGGGAAATAATATCTTATTAATATCATTCCCTGTGGTGGTATTGTGTTCCCCAAAATATTGTGCACCCCAATAAACTTATCTGGGGTCAGAGACAGAACAGCCACTAGATACAAAGGCTAGAAAATGGTGCACTCACACCTTTAATCCTAGCATTCCAGAGGCAGAAATCCATGTGTTCAAGGATACAGCCAAGCATGGTGACTCACGCCTTTAATCCTAGAAAGTGAGCCTTTAATCCCAGGGAGTGGTGGTAGAAAGCAGAAAGGTATATAAGGCATGAAGACCAGAAACTAGAAGCATTTGGCCTGGTTAAGCATTTGGCTGGTTAAGCTTTCAGGCTTCTAACAGCAGTTCAGCTGAGACCCATTCTGGGTGAGGACTCAGAGGCCTCCAGTCCGAGGAAACAAGACCAGCTGAGGATCTGGCAAGGTGAGGTAGCTGTGGCTTGTTCTGGTTCTCTGATCTTCCAGTTCACTCCAATACCTAGCTCAGGTTTGATTTTATTAATAAGAACTTTTAAGATTCATGCTACAATTCCCTTTACCAGAGAATGGTTTTCTCAACCTAGATGCCCCTTAACTGAAGAATGGATAAAGAAAATGTGGCACATATACACAATGGAGTACTACTCAGCAGTAAAAAACAATGATATCATGAAATTTGTAGGCAAATGGATGGAACTAGAAAATATCATCCTGAGTGAGGTAACCCAGACTCAGAAGGACAAACATAGTGTGTACTCACTCATAGGTGGATACCAGATGTGAGGGAAGGGATGTTCAGATTGCAACCCACAGCTCCAGAGAGGCTAGCGAACAGGGAAAGACCCTAGGAGGGACACATGAATGGCCCAGTGAAGGAGAAGTGGATGAGATCTACATGAGCAGACTGGGAGTGGAGGGGGTGGAGGGTGAGGAGTGGGGGATGAGAACATAGGGAAATGGGAGGGGTGAGCTGGAACAGGGACAGAATGGGAGGGCAGGGAGAGAGATGCCATGATGGATGAGGACATCATGGGAATAGGAAGAGGCAAGGTGCTGGGGAGGATCACAGGAATTTACAAGGATGACCCCACCTGTGGTCTAGAGGGTGCCTGGACTGGTCTACTCTGGTGACCAGCCTAGTGAATACCCTACCCGCAATCATAGAGCCTTTGTCCAGTGACTGATGGAGGCAGATGCAGAGATTCATGGCCAGGTGCCAGGCTGACCTCCAGGAATCCAATCGATGAGAGAAAGGAGGGATTCTGCAGGCAGGAGACATTGAGCTCATGATGGGAAGATGTGCAGAGATGACTGGCCACAGTGGTGGAAGCCCATGAACGGCTGTGGAGCCCCCATGGGACTGGACTAGGTCCTCTGGATATGGAAGATGGTTGTTTGGCTTGAACTGTGTGGGGGGCACCCAGACAGGGAGATCAGGATCCATCCCTGGTGCAT